TCGTCGTCGTCGTCGTCGTAGTCGTAGTCGTCGTCGTCGTCGTAGTAGTCGCAGTAGTCGCAGTAGTCGCAGTCGTCGTCGTCGTCGTAGTAGTAGTAGCAGCAGCAGCAGCAGCAGTAGCAGTAGTGGCAGTAGTACTCATAGTCGTAGTAGTTTTTTTGAGACCCGCTATTCCGACGGACCACTCTTGCATTGTGTGGGAGGCCATCACCGGCTTGCCGCAGCCGCCGACCACGCAGACCGACACGACCACGACTGAGGCAGTGACAACTACCACCCCACTCGCTGCCAAGGCTGTATTCATTTACACGACCACCACGACCACGACGACCACCACGACCACCACGACCACCACGACCACCACGACCACCACGACCACAACGACCACCACAACGACCACGACCACCACCACAACCACACCCACCCCAACCACTGCTGCAGCGGCGCAGGCGTACGGAGAAGGACAGGAGGAGGCTTGGACACTAAAGCCACAGTTTCGTTTTCTGTTTTAACGTTTGGCCGAGGTCTGGTGAGCAAGTTGAGTTTCTCATCTGAGGCGCCGAATGCGGGGCAACATGCTGCTCAAGGGGCTTTGGAGCAGGCTCGGCAACGGGCGGCGGAGCCCAGTGCGGCCGCAGAGCAGGCCGGAGAGCAAAGGGCTCCTCAGGAGACTTCGGAGCCTTCCGAAGCTGAAAAAGAGGCGCCGGAGCATGATTGCTCCGCAGACACGGAGAACTGGATGGAGACCTGGTCCTTGGAGAAGTGCCTCAGCCGCTTGAGGGACTGGGCATGCGGGGGGGCTGTACCTTTAGCAGCTCCTGTTTCACGAGGGCCAGAATAATTTATAGCATGTCACTCAACCTTTGCAAGATTGTTGTCCTTAGAGGTTTGGGGCGGTCACGACTCTCGGAATAGAGCGAGCAAGCGAAGTGAGATAGGGCAGATAGGGGTCCTCCAGCCGATCGATGTGTAGGCGTGGGCCTGTGTCCCAATACAATCTCACCACGAACAGAGAAGTTGCTGAAATCTCGTAATTTTTGAACCGCGGGGTGGTTGTGGCTGAATCGATGCTTGACATCCACGTTCGTAGCACACACAGAAGCGCCAAGACTTAAGTTTGGCCTGGATTGTCAGAGTTATGAGCGCCGGAACCCTGATTTGACACCCCTTCGTAGCCGCAGCCATGATCTGAAGCCCTTGCTCAGGAAGCTGTTCTGCTGCCGGAATGGCTCCATGCAGTGTCCCTTTTGAAGGCATCGGGTTTCCTTCCTCGCTGATGGAGCCTGTCGGGGTTTCCCCATTTCGGGATCAGAGGGCCTAAGACTTGAACCTGGGATGGGCACGACTGCAACTGTTCTGTTCAGCGATGAGGGCCTGTTTCACAAGCCGCCGCGGGCCGGTGGATGAGAGTTCTTCAAGACCTCAGCCAGAGCCTTTAAGTTCGGATTCATACCCTGCCTTTTCCAGCTATGGTAAGGGCCTGGAAACCCCGATTCCAGCATGGCCTGTTAGAGCGTAAGCATTAAAACTGAGATCCAATCTGCCTGCAGGAGGTCATGAGTAATGAGGCAAGGGCCTCGTCTAATTCGTGGCAGGAGCACGATCGACCCTTGACATCATCCAGCTGCGGCTACGGCTTTCTCTCCTCTCGCAACGTTTTGTTTGCGGCACCACCATTACCACTACCACTGCCACTATGACCACCACCACCACCACCACGACGACGACGACGACGACCACTACCACAATCTCTCTCGACTACTACTACTTCTGCCGCTGCTGCTGCTGCTGCTGTTGCTACTGCTACTACTACTACTACTACTACTACTACTGCTACTACTACTACTACTACTACTGCTACTGCTACTGCTACTGCTACTACTACTACTTCTGCTACTACTACTACTACTACTACTAC